GATGGTGGTCGTGGCAAATCTGGTGGTCGCGGTGATGGTGGCGGGATCTGGTTTGGATCTTATTTGTTGTTTGGAAATGGTAGTTGTGATGGTGGCGACGGCGATGGTGGAGGCGGCGACGCTGTGAGGTGGTGGCTGTTTGTGGAGTGTTGGCTGTTGCTTGTTAATTGAAGTTGCAGGTGGTTGTAGTTTTTTACCGTTGTTGGCTGTTGTTAACTGGTTATAGTGGTGTTTTGTCGGGCGGATGGTCGCAGGTGGCTGTAGTGGCTGCGGTGGTGCTGGTAGTATTGGTTATGATGGTACGTGACCTACTATTTGGTGGTATGTAACCTACTATTTGGCGGTATGTGACCAACTATTTAACAGTGACCTAAAAATTCGACAATATGTGACTGAAAAATAATCTGTGACCAACAAATTCGAAAATATGTAACCAATGAAATTAACCATTTTTTTATATGTGACCTAAAAATTATATAATCTGTGACTGTAAAAAATCCGTGACCAATTAATTTGGAAATCCGTAATTGTGTGACCTATAAATTTTGATCTATGACCAACTAATTTTGAAATCTGTGACCAACGAATTAAATATGACCTATAAAAATTTTTGAACTGTGACCGGAATGATTGTCAGAATAGTTGCCGGAATCGGAGCAGTCGCCGAAATGATCGCCGGAGAAGAGTGGTGGCCGGAATAGTCCCCGAAGCGATATGGGTGGTGCATGGGGGATGGGTTTATTATATTATATTATATTAGAATTAAAAAAAAAACCCCCCGATTTTTGAATTTTCAAACTATAAACATGATTTTTGAATTGGTGTAAACTAAACACCTTATTTATGAATTTTTCCCCTCATGCGGAAATTACATCTAAACCTATATTTTCACTTGTTAATTTAAAAATCAGATTTCAACTTCACTCTTTCAAAAATCAGGTATACGCTATCCACTCTACTCCTTAACCCTAATTCATTTTTTTATCCAAACAAAAGGTTAAAAAGTTTCTCACATTCCCTATTCTCTAATTACAGAACTTCTCACGGTTGGCAACGATGATTCTCTGCGCACTGCAGCGATGATTTTGGAGTTTTGGGGGATGATTCCTTCTTCCTCCTCCGATCCAATCTTTGCAATAAGTTTTTGTTGATGGTTGTTGATGGTGCAGTAGTGATGCATGTGGTAGTGGGATGAAGAGATTTTGTGACCAATTATTTGGGTGATTATGACCAATAAAATAATTAATTTTTGCCTAATAAATAATATATGATCAATAAACAAATAATTTATGATCACTAGATAATACGCGATTTGAAAAAATGTGTGATTGCGACTAAAGTGACTCACAATTTCTATCTTTATGATTGTGATATCATGTTATTTGTGACTGTTATCATAATTGTATATTATTGTGATCTTGACCAGTTATAATTTATCATAAATGTGATCACCTGATTTTTGAAACTTTTTCGCAAGTTTTTTAATTTGAAAGTGTATTTTTATTTTAAACCTTTGGAATTATGTATTCTTTCTTATATTCATTTTCTTTGGAACTTCAAGCTTTTCTTAGTGTCCATGAAACCTCATTTCAAACCCTTTCCAAGCTAGTGACAACGGGTTCAGTCAAGCCAACCGACTCAATGCCACCTAAACGTAAATCTGACCATTAGGCGAGCCAGTTCTTTCATTGGGACCTCTCGTGACAAGCCAAGCCAGTCCATGAGCTTTACAATTCCTTTTTAAACAAAATTTAAAGAAAATCTAAGGGAATAACTGTTCTCTTTTTTCATGTCTCAGACAAGATACATTATACTTAAAAATCTCAATTATATCACATACCTTCAATTTACTACAATTATGATACTCAACTTAGCATTCGATGCATATTTTGTTGATATGTGTGGATCTGTCGATATATTTAATCGTTGACATTAAGTATAATATATGGCTGACGTAGAATGTAGATAGTTAATGTAAGGTTGCTATATGATGATGATGATGATGGAAAAAAGATAAAAAGGGTTCAACATCCTTCCAAAATTTTATCGATTTTGTCTTTTTTTGTTCCATGTAAAATACATGTTGAAAATGCACGTTTAGATTTTTAAAGCACTCAAGAGTCGAGACAAAATTATATACAAACTTTAATATTCTCATTTTTAATATCATCAAATTGTGTGGAGTATATAATTCAATTCGTTATCCAAACAACTCAATAATCATTAATTACTAAAAAAAAAAAAAAATAGCAGCAGGATTGAGTATGCCCAGATGGCAACCCCAGTGTACAACGTCCTCACAAATGGGGAATCCACACGCGGGAATTGACACTTCGATGTACAAATAGCAAAATCCAAAATGGATTATCCGGTGGCCAAAAACAGTGGATGGTGAAAAAAATCAGTTATTAATGGGTTAAAGTATATCGGATCGGGTTGGATTGAGTCGTGCCTAACATTTAAACCACAAAGACAAAGTCAAGCGAGAAGTTTTGAGACACCGTGACAGAGAATCTTTCAACTACTCTCAGCACTCTTTAATGTGAGAATCACGCGCTGGTGGTCCTCTAATTGTGCCTAATTTTTTTTAAAAATCTCATTATATTGTTAATAATTTAATATTAATTTATAGAACAAAATTATTTAATACTTCAACAAAATGGGAAGTGGTTGACCTAGATTTGTTGTCTTGGGAATCTTTATTTATTTTAATTTGAATAATAAAGGCAAACATCAAATTGGATAAGTACAAAAATGATTTATCAACTTAAAGAAGGTCGAGTATTAAATATTTAGCACATGTTTGGTGTAATTAAAAATTTTGATTTTTAGTAGATTTTGATAAAAAATGATGAAATATATGATTAAAAAGTTCTGAATTTCTTGAAATGTGTAGTTAAAATTAATCTTTGATTTCGACTAAGATTTTTATCAAGATTTTAAACTATACCAAACATAGACTTAGCCCATGTTTGGTACACATTAAAATTTTTATTATCATTCTTCTATTCATTTTCAATCACACATTTTTCAATAAAATAATATTTTTCATCACATTAATAACTTTTCTTTCATTTTCAACCACAAATTCTCCATCAATCTATTATTTCAGAATACATTCTTCCAAAATAATGTGGATCAAACATACATTTAGTCTTACTCGAAGTATCGAATTAATAAGATTGTAGTCCTACACTATCTCAAATATCATTTTGAATAAAATTTGTTACACAATAATTATATATGTCTCATATTTGGCAGGAAAGTATAAAAATTAAATTGAGACTCTTATCAATGCATTTATCTCGGACTACCTTTTTAACATACTCGAAAAGTCTATATTTATGATTACATTTTGTTTGAAGATAAGTTGATAGTGTTAAAACGAACTATGCTTTATATGGTTGAATTATATCAATTTAAGACAAATGATAAATGAACTATTATTTTATCACAATTTTAAAAATGTGATGACTACATCATGATGTCATAGATTGATTACTTATTGCGTTAAGTCGAACATGCATTTTATTTTTACTCATATTCATAAAATTTGAATCAATATGCCAAGACTCCAAAAACTAAGCCCTGTTTGGTACCCATTATTTAAAAAAAAAAAAAGTAGTTTTGAAATGTATTTTTAGAAGAATGTTTGTTTAAAAAATAGAAAAATTTTTAGGTTTACGCGTAAAATATTTTATTATTTAAATATATGGTTAAAAATGATTTATAACAAAAAGAATTTTAAAATAATGTACACCAAACGGGACTAAAATCATCTTGTCGAGTTTAGTAATTCATTGATTAATGTTATTCATCTCTAGTGGGTTGAAAATACAGTTTATGTGATATTAAATGATAGGTTAAATGAAATGTGAAATTAAATGACTTATTTAATTTCACCTATTATTTAATGTCACATTAACGTCACGTAAACTATATTTTCATCCACGGTGAGGATGAATAGTATTACTCTAATTCACTACTAAAATAACTGAAAAGTAAAATGACTTGAAAGCGTGCAACCTACGCTCCTGAGTAATGCGTTTCTCTCTATAACGCTCTCTCTATCTCTATCTCTATTGATGTATGTATAACCCTCGTGTACATTATACCCCCAACATACTCACCCACTCCATCCTATAAACCCTGAATTCAGCGTTGAATTGAATCCCATACCGTGGTCGTTTTCCTTGAAATGGCTGACCCTACGGCGGTCGCCGATCCTCCAATGCCTCCGCTTTCTGTCACTGCTGCAAATGATTTTGATTCCGGCCTCTCAATGCCACCCCTCGATCGCTCTTTCTTTTCTGAACACCTGACCTCGCCCTATAACAATAACGATAACAACAGAAATGACGACGACGTCTTAGACCTTGATTTCAATTTCTCCTTCGACGATCTGTATCTTCCTTCCTCCGACCTCGGTGATCTCCTCATTGATCCCGTCCCTGACACGATTCAAGTTCAACCCGACTCGTTCAACGGCCAACTGGGATCAGGGCCGAACCTGGAAAATCCCTACAGTGTTTTCAAGTCAACCTCGGTAGAATTACGTCATCTTTGTGATGGCATCCCTGGAGATCTATCCGGTGATCAGAGCTTGAATGGGGCTGGGGTTACGAATTCTGAGTTGCTGGTTTCAGAGTCTGCCCAAATTTCTGGTTACCTGAACGTGCTGTCCCCGGAGTCGAATGGATCGAACCGCGGGAGCTCGGAGAATTCTGGTGGTGACGAGAAGGCTTTGAATTGTCTTTCGCCTGAATCTCATGTTTCGGAGAATTGTGGCTCGAATGTTTCGGTGGAGTCAAATAATTGTGCCCAATCGGTAAATGTTTCTCCTAATTTTGATGATAGTTCAATTAGAACTGGTGTTGTTGATCAGAAGAATAAATTAGAAAAATCAGCGTATATTGATGTGAGTAATTCTGCCATGAAAAGGAAAAAAGAGAGTGAAGATTCTACTAATACTAATAGTGAGTCTAGAATTAATAAATATAGGAAATCTAGCAACTGTGTTGAAAATAATAATATCAGTGGCTGTGGGTTGAGTGAAGAGGATGAGAAAAGAAAGGCAAGGTTGATGAGGAATAGAGAGAGTGCACAATTGTCAAGGCAAAGAAAGAAGCACCACGTTGAGGAGTTGGAGGATAAGGTGAGGTCAATGCACTCTACAATTCAAGATTTGAACGGGAAGATTTCATACTTCATGGCAGAAAATGCGACTTTAAGGCAACAATTGGGTGCTGGCAATGGTATGGCTGTGCCTCCCCCAATGGCACCGCCACCTTCAGGAGTGTACCCACATCCAGCAATGATGTATCCATGGATGCAGTATCCCGCGCCCTATGCGATGAAACCACAAGGGTCACAGGTTCCATTGGTGCCTATCCCAAGGTTGAAACCGCAACAGCACGTGGCATCGCCAAATCCAAGTACGAAGGTGGATGGTAAGAAGAAAGATGGAGTGAAAACTAAGAAGGTTGCTGGTGTTAGTTTCTTGGGGTTGCTGTTTTTCATAATGTTGTTTGGTGGGTTGGTTCCAATGGTGAATGTAAGGTATGGTGGAGTGAGGGAGTCATTTACGGGTGGAGAGACTTATATTGATGATGGGTTTTACAGGAAGCATCATGGAAGGGTGTTGATGGTAAATGGGTCCGAATATGGTGAGAAATTTGGTGATGGGATAGATTTTAATTGTACTAAAAATTGTGGTTGGAGAGGTCATGTTGGTGGAGGGCCAAGTGTGGATGAGTTTGCTCGTGTGGGCAATGGTAATGATCCTCTAGCAGCATCTTTGTATGTTCCCAGGAATGATAAGCTTGTCAAGATTGACGGGAACTTGATTATTCATTCTGTTCTGGCAAGCGAGAAAGCTATGGCTTCTCGTAAAGATGATGGAGACGAGGCAAGTGTGGAGACTGGCCTGGCTGTTCCTCGAGATTTGGCTCCTGCTATTCCTGTTCTAGGTGTTGGAAAAAATGGTGGAAGACATCCTCACTTAAGGGCTCTTGATTCCGGTTCTGCAGATAGAGATCTGAAGTCTAAAGCAGCTGATGGCAAGCTTCAACAGTGGTTCCGTGAAGGCCTTGCTGGTAAGCATTATCCATTATCTCGATGGCTGTCTTTGTCAGGGTAGATAGTAGATATGAGCTACATTAAAGGCCTTGCAATCTTCATACTTGATCAATATGTTCCAGGTTTTATCGTGTGGTTTTCAGATATTGCAACTGTTGAGTGCCTAATGGGCACTGTATTTGGTCTGGCCACTGTTGTGCATATTTTAAATTTGTTCATAGTTGTTGGCAGCATATTGATTATTTTCCATGGATTTCCAACTTTCTGATACTAGATATTGATGCCATTTTGGTTGCTCTTACACAATTTCTAGTTCTGGTTGAATAATTGTGAAAAAATAAATAGTAGCATACATTTCTATAGCCTTCATGATGTATGACTTAAATTGGCAACTGTGCATCTTTTTGTACTTCTAGTCTGCACTTCTTGTTATCCATTGTCGTTATTGTTCTGTCATTTATTTCAAATTTTACAATTGTTTTCATGAAATGTGGACTGATGCCTTCATTTATGTTTAATTTTCTTGCTCTTCCTAAATTGTAATGCTTCGTCGATTTCCTCTGTGCAGGGCCAATGTTAAGTTCTGGCATGTGTACCGAAGTGTTCCAGTTTGATGTGTCATCAGCTTCTGCTTCTGGTGCCTTAGTTAGAGCTACTGTGAGGAATATTACTGCAGAAGCTGAAAAGGTTCAGAATTCTACATACCTCAGAAAGGGTAGGAATAGAAGAATCCTCCATGGACTTCCCATTCCCCTTCGTGGAACCTCTCGTAACATTTCTAAAGAACACGAAGGAAGGAATTCGCAGAAAGAGAACTTGAACGGAAATAATTCAATATCTTCAATGGTCGTTTCTGTGCTTTTTGATCCTAGAGAGGCTGGGGATATTGAAGGGGATGGCATGATGGGAGCAAAGCCCCTTTCTCGGATTTTTGTTGTTGTACTAATTGACAGTGTCAAGTATGTAACCTATTCATGCATGCTTCCCTTCAAGGGTTCGGGTCCGCATGTAGTGAGTACATAGGAATGAGATACGGGCGAAGGCTAGACGTATCTCTTGAAAAAGTTTTGTAGATATTCAAGTCATAGCAATCTTAAAAGCTTAGTTACGTAACTTATATATGCCTATGTAACGTTGACTTTGGATGGCCTCCAACTTGTTTATGTGGACTGATGCATTGTTTTATGGTCATTAACATGCAGTAATAAATTTATAGCTTATAGTATGTGTATGTTGTATATTCAATTGGTTATATCTTTTATGGATTAGATTAGATGAATAATCTGTATTGCCTAGAGTAATTAATAACTTAAAAAGTAAGAAACGAAAGCAAGAATAATACGTGATTTGAAGTGCTTCACCTCAATGTAAGAGTTATTGCACAAGGAGTTGCTGCTGAATTCTACTATATTGAAGAAGAGAATCACAATGTGTTTTCAGCTCGGGACTGTTTCTTCTTTTACGACAATATACTTGCCTTCATATCCTTTATGCGCGATGAAAATATTAGGGCAATTTAGTACGCGTCGAGGGAAAAGTGTAAAGGCTCCAACCACATCCAAAAGTATATTCGGTTCCACTTGTGATGACAATGAAATCTGTCTAAAAGTTTTAATGAAGTTGATAGAAAATATAAGAAATTATTTTTGTATCTTCAACATAAAGCAAAGCTACTCAGAGAAGCATATGATCATTTAGTAACTCTTTCCTTGGAAGCTACGACAAACACATTTTTTCCACTTTGTGTTAATAATTATCAGCAACCACAAAGCATAATCAATATGATAATGTAAACACTTCTTCTTCCGATGAAAACAAAAATTCTTTGTCGCATGTGGGCCTTCCGAATATTTTATTGTTAAGTATAGTTATGATTTTTTCAATTAATGTGTCTATTCAGCAAATAAATAGTAGTTTTATCTATCAATATGTATGGTCTTGGACCATCAAGTATAGCTTGTAAAGTTTTCTTAGATGATTTCCACTGCTTATCATTAGCGCTTGCCGCAAAGAGGACGACTGTGTTTTCCTTTGCGGTTTCCTTCTGCAAGATTGTGTGAATCCGTGAGAGCATGTGGAATCTCAAGAACATATTTATACTACTGCATCCACAAAAAATAGAATATTAACGTTTGACAACAAAAAGAAACCACTTAAAATTTGGGGAAAGAGAAATCATAAGATAGTTGATTCCGAAAAAAGAACAGTGAAGAATGAAAGATGAGAAAATCATACAGTTTGATCCTCGTGTTTCTCAACACGAGTTTAAAGGAGTTCATCAGGGTCAAATCCATTTCCTGTAGGCTGTAACCAAAGGTCCAAGGGAAGCAATGTGCTTATCGTGATTCTCAATGTCTCCGATTGTCGCACTGGGTTTGTTCGTCAGGGATATCAAAGGAGAGGCTACCACCTGAACCTTTCCCTGTTTTTCATCTTCAAATTTTACTTCGACCCAAGGCTCTGCACACTTCGGTTGACAATAATTTCCAGACAGGATGTTGGCTACCCGCAGCTGTTTCCAAGTTGGTGGAAGGATAAGCTGGTAGGGTTGTACATTTCCTGCTGCCAACAATATTCAGAGTTTCATACGCACAAGGAGCACCAAATTCATAAAGGCATTAAGGGAAACTATTACACAAGTGGTTCAACTTATTGCCAGCTAGTTGAACATTTAAAGCATAAGATCCTTAGAAAGTGCATGCTGTGTTAATTTTGGTCTATCCCTCCCTTGTTCTGTGACAATACTTCGCTCTCATGAAGAGGAGTCTCTTTAGTACCTCTTCATAGGCAAATTCTGTAGCAATCTGATATCAGTTCTTTGCATTCTTCCATAAAACACAGTTTGAATTCCATAATTTGACTAGAACTCTCAATGTGCAATAATGCTTCGAAAGATTATCCCAATAATTTTAGAAAAGGAATTTGTGACAATCAGCCTAAAGTTATAGGCATATCGCCATTTTCTTTCTTTATAAAATGGAATGATTGACCAAATAGAAGAACAAAAATGATAGATGATATAACCCTAGCAAACGACAGCCACCTCAATTAAAAGGACGGAAATAACATGCTTATACAAGCTAAAACTGTTAGTTTCGCTGGAAAACTGGAGCTTGGAGGATTTATCCCAAAGGTTCCTGTTGGTAATGCCAAGACTCGTGCTCTAAAACATGGTTATCAGTGAAAGTCACTGGACATGGAAGTATATGTTGCAAACATGTAAAATATTGATTGCCACGAACTGTCTCTAATGCTAAAAAGTAACAATCGACAGAAGAAAAGATCCTACTTAAAATGAGTAGTAATGTGCAGAGTCTAATCGTTCCAGCTTAAACTTCTGTGCCTAAAGAAAACTATAGCTGAAGCATGGGAAATGATCAATAATGCCTACAAATTTTATAATTGCTGTAGATATACCATCATTGAGCAGCAGCATTTACAATTAAATTTGGAGTCGGCTAATAATTCTTTCTTCACCACTCCACACTGCTAGATCTAGTGGAACATCCAAAGTAACTGTGAATCTGCCTTTTATGATCACGCAGACCATGTCCCAACCACCTAAAAAGTCTTTCCCATGGAGTATTCACGATTGGCGTCACTTCAAATAGTTGACGTATAATCATTTCTTATTTTATCTATGTCTCCACATCATCTTAGCATCTTCATTTCCACCACATTCATCTTACGGATGTTTTGTCTTTTAACAGTCCTACACCCAGTACCATACAGCACAAGCGTAACAACATTCTCTACAACCTTTTAATTTTATAGGATCTTCTTATCATACAGAATTCTTGTAGCACTTCTCCGTTTCATCCAACCCACTATAATCTTATGCATTACAACATCTTCTATTCCTCCTTCATTTTTAATAATCAACCTCAAAACCTAAACTAATCAATTTCTGGACAACTCTCATAGCATGTGTTTTGTCTTGGTTCTTGTCAACTTAAACCTTTACATTCCAAGTCCTCCATAGTTCGAACTTACGAATTAACATACTTTTAATCTCAACTAATTTGGTAGTTTCATGTTAATGTTAACCAAAACTATGGTTATTAATTTTTGATTGTGTTGGAAAATCGAAACTGATTGGGATATAATCCTTGTAAAGCTGTAAATTAGCTAATTAGTTGTCAATCTCTGTATTATAGGAAAGTAATTGTTAGGAGTTATTCTTTCCCTTAAAATCAGTGATTTATTTTCCTGAATTGAAGGATCTGTATATGCTGTGTAAATCCTATAAATAGTTTATCAATGAAAGAGATTAAGTATTCCCGAAAAACCTTTCTTTTCAAGTTGGTATCAGAGCAGGCAAATTGTTTGCCGAAATCTCTCCTTCTTTCTCTCATTCAATCCCTGCTCTCTCTGACACCATGTCGGATACTTCAACTGAATCCACCACCACCACTGACTCTGTAAAAATCAATACAGCCACCTTGGGATCCCACTCTGTCCAAATCACCACAATTCGCTTGAATGGTGACAATTTTCTGAGATGGTCTCAATCAGTCCGGATGTACATCAGAGGACGTGGAAAAATGGGCTACCTGACGGGTGAAAAGAAGGCTCCAGCAGTGGATGATCAGAACTATGCCACATGGGATGCTGAGAATTCCATGGTAATGACATGGCTTGTGAATTCTATGGAAGAAGACATCAGCTCTAATTACATGTGCTATCCAACGGCACAAGAGCTTTGGGAGAATGTCAATCAGATGTACTCTGATTTAGGGAACCAATCTCAGATCTTTGAATTGACCCTCAGACTCGGTGAAATGCGACAAGGGGGGGACAACGTCACAAAATTCTTCAATTCATTGAAACGAATCTGGCAAGATCTGGATCTCTTCAATACCTATGAATGGAAATCTGCCGAGGATGCACGCCATCATAAGAAGACCGTGGAGGATAATCGCATCTTCAAATTCTTGGCTGGCCTCAATGTCGAGTTTGATGAGGTAAGGGGGAGAATCATTGGAAGACAACCCCTGCCTTCAATTGGTGAAGTATTTTCAGAAGTCAGAAGAGAGGAAAGTCGGAGGAATGTGATGTTGGGCAAGAAGGGACCTGGAGTTGCTGTGGAAGGTTCTGCCCTGGTAACCACGGGTGGAGGCTATAACAAAGCCACCACATATCAGCGCAAACCTGATGAAAAGTCACGTGTTTGGTGTGATTTCTGCAACAAGCCTCGTCATACCCGTGAAAATTGTTGGAAAATCCATGGGAAACCTGCAAACTGGAAAGATAAATCCAGTGACAAGTCAGGACGAACCTTCCCTACTGCTAATGAGGCCGAAGCCTTCCCTCTCACTAAGGAGCAGATGGAGCATCTTCTTACACTGCTGAAAACCAACCCAGTATCTGGTACTCCTAATGCTTCTGTTGCACACACAGGTAATGAATTAAATGCTCTAGCTTGTCATTTCAGATCATCTGCTCCATGGATAATCGATTCTGGAGCATCTGACGATATGACCAATTCTTCAAATCTGTTTGAATCTTATTCACCGTGTCCTGGAAATAAGAAGGTTAGGATAGCTGATGGAAATTTCTCACCAATTGCAGGAAAAGGTCTGATAAAAATTTCTGAGGGAATAGATCTTAAATATGTTCTCCATGTTCCTAAACTTGCTTGTAATCTCCTGTCTGTCAGCAAATTATCTAGAGATTCTAATTGTTGTGTTACCTTCTTTGAATCTCATTGTATTTTTCAGGACCGGAACTCGGGGAAGACGATTGGCAGTGCTAGGATGATCAACGGTCTCTATTATTTCGAGGATAATTTACCTAGTAATAAAATTGCTCAAGGACTGAGTAGTATTAGTTCTCTTTCTGCTCGTGATCAAATAATGGTTTGGCATTGTAGGTTGGGTCATCCTAGTTTTTCTTATTTAAAACATTTGTTTCCAGTGTTATTTCAAAAGGTTGATCCTTTATCATTTCAATGCGAAAGTTGTTTATTGGCAAAGAGCAAACGTAAACCTTACATTCCTAGACCCTATCATGCATCAAAACCATTTTACCTTTTCCACAGTGATGTTTGGGGACCTTCAAAGGTAACCACTATTTCAGGAAAAAGATGGTTTGTAACCTTTATAGATGACCATACTCGTCTTTGTTGGGTTTATTTAATGCATGAAAAATCTGAAGTAGAAAGAATTTTTAAAGAATTTTATCAAATGATTGAAAACCAGTTTCAAATGAAAATCAGCATTTTGAGATCTGATAATGGAACAGAGTATTTTAATAAAGTTTTGGAAACCTTTTTAACTGAAAAAGGTATTTTACATCAATCCTCATGTTCAGACACCCCTGAACAGAACGGAATAGCAGAACGAAAAAATAAGCACTTGTTAGAAGTAGCACGGGCTATGATGTTTTGCATGAATATTCCGAAATACTTATGGGGGGATGCCATTCTAACTGCATCATATCTAATAAACAGAATGCCCACAAAAGTTTTGCAGTACACCACTCCGTTGAAATGTTTAAAAAGGGAATTTCCAGAATCTCGTATCAATTCTGAATTACCTTTGAAAATATTTGGTTGCACCGCATATGTGCACATTCCAAAGAGGGCACGGTCTAAGTTTGACCCAAGGGCAGAAAAATGCGTTTTTTTGGGATATACCCCTAATAAGAATGGTTACAAATGTTTTAATCCTCTTACAAAACGGTTTCACACAACCATGGATGTTTCTTTTATGGAAGATGCCCCATATTTTACCAAAAATTTAATTCAGGGGGAGAAATTAGTGGAACCAAATTTTTGGGAAATTACTGAACCCTTGCCTAGTGCAATTCTTGATATTCCTCTCAAATCAGTAGAAATATTAAATAAGGAAACTAAGCCTACTGAATCCAAATCTGAAATTGGTCTGTCAGAAAAAGAAATACTACAAATGGAAAATAATCGAAGCAATCCTGAGCTTGTGGTTTATTCAAGGAAAAATATCCCTGGAGGAAGGAAAGACCAGTTGATCATCCCAACACATGGTCAAACGGAAGCCCTGGGCGATGGCCTTCCAAGTGTCTCAGGTAACTCTCCTTCTATTCCTACTATTATAAATTCTTTTTCTCCTCTAATTTCTGATCCAAGGTTATCACCATACTCTAGTCCTAATTCTGAAACAACAGCACCTGAACCTAATTTAGAGCCAGCCATAGTTATTCCTGCACAGGACCCTTTTCTCGATCTTCCCATTGCCTTTAGAAAGGGAACCCGCACCTGCACCAAATACCCCATTGCCAAATATATCTCCTACAATAATCTGTCTGACAAACATAGAGCATTTACTACAAATATTTCAAAGCTTGTGGTACCTAGAAACATTTAGGAAGCACTAGATCAACCGAGTTGGCAATTGGCAGTGTTTGAAGAAATGAATGCCTTGAGGAAAAATGATACTTGGGAGATAGTAGAATTGCCGAGAGATAAAAAGGTTGTAGGGTGCAAATGGGTATTTACAATAAAAAGTAAAGCCGATGGAAGTATTGAGAGATATAAAGCTAGGCTTGTAGCGAAAGGTTTCACTCAAACCTATGGGATAGACTACCAAGAGACTTTTGCCCCGGTAGTGAAAATAAACTCAATTAGAGTTTTGTTGTCCCTTGCAGTTAATTCCAATTGGCCTCTACATCAATTGGATGTTAAAAATGCCTTCCTTAATGGAGACCTAGAGGAGGAAGTGTTCATGAGTCCTCCACCAGGTTTCGAAGAAAGTTTTGGAGCTGGGAAAGTGTGCAAACTAAAAAAATCCTTATACGGACTCAAGCAGTCTCCTAGAGCTTGGTTTGAGCGATTTGGCAAGGTGATAAAGTGTTTTGGATACACTCAAAGTCAAGCCGATCATACTATGTTTTATAAACATTCAATGGAAGGGAAAGTGGCCATCTTAATTGTGTATGTAGACGATATTGTGCTGACCGGGGATGATTATAATGAACTAGAGAAGTTAAAGGGAAGACTTGCTCAAGAATTTGAGATCAAGGACTTGGGGGCATTGAAATACTTTCTTGGAATGGAGTTTGCTAGGTCCAAAGAAGGTATTTTTGTAAATCAGCGAAAGTATGTGCTTGATCTACTTGATGAGACAGGTATGTCAGGTTGCAAGCCTGTTGAAACACCAATAGAGCCTAATGTAAAGCTGGAACCTACAAAAGCTCAGAATGTGAAGA